ATTATAATCGATGGAGTCATGGTGTTATTGCAATTTCTTGTAATTCCACCTAGCTGAAATATTTTTTATTGCATTCTTTGCACGTTCACTAACTACTATCTACTTCTACATTAAGATATAAAATTATATTTACACACTATTATACGAATTTAAGTTTTTTGCAACACAAATGCCTAGTTCTTTAAATTATTCAGTTATCTGTATTTTATTTTCATATGTAAATATTTAATTGACGTAATTGTTTAAGTATATATCTTAATAGCATATATGCGCCTAGTATGTTAATTTATTTCTATTGTTTTATAAACAATGTTAAAAATGTATTATACATGCACAATTGGCTTTTGTAAACTGCGCTTTCTATCAAGATTCAGAAAGAAACATATTTCACGAACATCATTCCTAGAGCATTTATCTTTTTTTTTAAAAAAAATTCGAGTTGCTCAAATTTTTACAGTATATTCTCTGCGACTTTAGAATTCTGCTATAAAATATTTCGACTGTAAAGATATCCTAAAAATTCTTGCACTGACGGATAGATATTTCGAATATATATTTTAGCCATAGACTTCAAAGCCCTATCTCAAAACCTTTAAGAGTTACAAGCATTTTAAAGTTTTTGACGTTAATAATTTAAACACTTTTTAGCGGATATCTCGCTAACAGTAAGGGGTATTATAAAAATCTTGCAGTGGCTTATAGATTTTATAATTTACTATATTTTATCTGAAAACGGCAAAATCGTATGTCGAAACGTTCAAAAGTTACAATAAATAATTATAATAAATTAATTAATACACAACATGCAAACCTCTACAATTCACTAAAAATAACTCCGTTTGTTTCAAAAACATCCAAAAATATTTTTTAATATTAAACGACATTTAGCTATATTTTCTCTTAATTGTTAGTATTACATATAAATAATATATAAAGAGAAGTGAATTGCTATTTACACTTGAAATTGTAATTCTCGAGAGTCGAATTTATTTGTTGTATCTGTTAAAGACAAAAATTTTCATCCTCTATTTATTTATTTTTTGTACTATTTCAGGCATAATGAAGATGGATCTTATACTTATGGATACGAAGGAGCCGATGGATCATTCAAAATAGAAACTAAATTGGCGACGGGTGAAGTGAAAGGAAAATATGGATATGTCGATGAAAATGGAAAGGTTAGTATTAATTTAAGTTTTGATAAAATATACAAGTTTTCTCTCCTTTTCTTTTCACACTTAACGGACTGGCTCCATAGATTTACATTACATGAAAAGGTGAATGTTTACTCGCTTAAACAAATACCAATACTATTATAAATTATTAAAAAAATATTATAATTGTTTTAATAAAGTTTTGTTTTAAATTTATAATTACTTTAGATAATGTTTATCTGATTCCCCTGAAAAATTCCCGGAAAATAGGTGAGACAGAACAGATTTCACTTGTTCGTTAAGGGTTAAATAAATTAGTTCAAGTCTTAATAAAGTACTTACTTAATTATTTAACTATGATATTTTGGCTTGAAAATCTGTAGCGAAATGAGCAATTATTATGCACTCCTTTAAGTACACAGTTGTTCCTATGGCACAAGTTTGTTCTAATTTAACTCTACATATGAAATTCCAAAATATGGAGTATATCTTGATTAAATTAAATTAAAGCAGTGGCGTCGGAAGCAAATTTTTGATGGGTGGTCTTCTTTTTTTTAGACAGCTAGTGCGGGCTTGTTCTTTTTTAGACATCCCACACAATATCATATTTTTGAGATTGATAAGTGGGCTGAGAATTTTGAGCCCAAAATTCATGGATGGGTTCAAGCCCACACAGCCCACACGGTTCCGACGCCACTCTATACAAGTATATCTGTTATTGCATTTTTTGTTATTTGGTTTTAAGTATGTTAATATTACAATGATAGTAAATATTTGTCATTATTGAATTGATATGAAAACTAAGATATTTCAATCGTTATTTATCCAGGTACGAGTGGTAGAATATGGTGCAAACAAATATGGCTTCCAACCAGCTGGTGAGGGTATAACTGTGGCACCACCAACGTTGGTCGATGAAACTACAAGGAAGGATGGATCGATAAATCCAGATTATGATGATGGTTCCTTCTACCAAGTTACCGCTGCTCCTAAACCACAGGTATTTTCTAGTATTGTGAACCAATCTAGATCAACCATAAAAATGTTTCTGGGTAGTTGATCGACCTGGTCAAAAATGAGTTTTAGAAGTACTGTGTAAAAATATTTCTAGATGCATTTTTTGTTTATTTTGAAAGACTCAATAAAGAATTAACCGAAAAAAAACTAATAAGGCTCATATTAAATAGGTATACCCTTTTTTAAAATTTAGTTGCTACTTGCTGAAATGTAAACAAAAAAAGTACAAATGTGATTAATATTAATATATAATTATGATATATATCATGCGTATGTATGTACAAATATTCCATAATCTGCAATAAATGCTCAATATTTTCCTGTAGTGCACTACACACACATACGACTATTCTTAATTGAATACGTAATGCGAGTAGTAAGTTCAACGTACAAGAACACTTAACCATGCAATAATAAATTTCTATTGCGACTTTCTTCAGAAGAAAAATTAATAACGATTTAACTGGTTTCATCAGAAGTTTGTGATGTCTTAACTTTCACAACTTGCATGATATGTACTTATCATGTTATATGCATACATTCCGAACGCCATCGGCAGTATGTTTTCAATTTAAATAGATAGATAGACATATAGACAAAGCACCGAGAGGAATTTCATTGGCACGATACATTATTTTAGATACTTATTACTTTTAAAATGTAGAACAATTAACACACAAAGAAATATACTGTTTATGGAAGAGGCGCATTTGCTAAGCTCACAAGTCTGGACTAGACAAAAAACTTCAGTCTTTTATGTTCGACGTTGAAACTTGTCATCATCCAGCATATCTAACAAAACCTAAAAAAGGTTTTCACAAAGTTTTAAAAATTGTTTTTAATTATATATTACAAAATTAATAGAAGACATAACTGGTAAAATTATGAATACATACCATACCAGGATAAAACATGATATTAAAGAACATTGTTTCAAAGAAACAAACCATGAAAATAAAATATTCAAATAAAATTTAAACAAGAAAATTATATAGTTGCTAGCATGACTAACGAAAAAAAATATTGTAATACTGTGGTATTCTATTTTTGTTTAGTCTTTTGTCCATCCTTGTTTCCAACTAGGGAATGCAATACCGGTATACCGGTATACCGAATTACCGGTAAACCGCTCGATTTTACGGCAGTATTTTTACCGGTATTTACCCCAAAAATACCAGTATTTTTGGTATTTTGACATAAGCGCTATTTGATACATAATACATTAAAGTTTAAATTTCTCGGAACAAATTTATCTTTAAATTCCATAATCGCATAAACAGCTATATCTTCAAGTGATTCTATAAGATAAACAAATGTCAAATATTATCTCAACTCGTCATTAAACTGAATATTTATTACTTCACTAAGGGCTTCATATCGTGTTACAATAAATAGAATTGGACTGATAGATAAAAATGTTTGTTTTATCTTATGTAAAAATGTAACAGTTTTTTAAGTGATATTTGCGCCAAAATATTTTATATCATACAGATTACCCTTGCGTAATCTACCTTTATACATAATAATTATGATAATTACTAAATATTTTCGCTTCTTATTACAATTATAAAATATTATTTTTCGAAAACGTTTCGAAGTTTGAAAATACAATAGAAGCATAACATTGTTTTAAATAACAATACTCAACAATTATATTAACTTATAATTTATCTCGACAAAGTATCCGATCTTAAATTAGTGTAGAAAAATTATATTTTTAAAATATTGCAAATTATGCTAATTTAACACATCGAATACAGACAGTACAGTTTATTATAATAATGTGATATGATCTTTTATGAGTTTTTGGACTTTTTTACTCATAAGTTTGTTTTTGGTGAAAAGTACTCAATATACTCGATAGTGATAATGAATCAATTAAATTGGATATAATTTTGTTAAATTATTATTTAAAAAAATAAATTTGTTTTATTTTATTGTTTTTATTGTTTAGTTGAATATAGTTGTAGTTGTATATACATTTTTTTATATTTGTACTAGTAACTTTCAATTTTGTTTACGTTTGTTTAGGATAATACAAAATACCGGTAATTTACCGGTATTCCGGTTTTAAAGTGAAAAATTACCGAAATACCGGTATTGAAATTTTCCATCGGTATTGCATTCCCTATTTCCAACTATCGTTGAACCGATCTTGGATCAAGTATATGTGAACCCCTTCGTTCTATATCGGTGTTTTTCGGACAGTCGTTTGGCGTATTTTATTAGTTATGTTAGCAGCTACCTGATTTTTTTGTTTAACTTTTATTTAAATATTTTATTTTATTGATTTTTTCTTTAGAACAATTTGTGTGTGGTTTAATTAGCTTAAATCGCAGATGATAAAATATATATCTGATGCAAATTCCTATTTTAAAATGCTCAGAAAATTACTTAAGTGGGTACGTACATACGTTAGCGTTGGGATATCGTCACATTTAAAAGAATTTTTTATCATTTACTATGACAATGCATTGAACATATTTTAATATTTTTTATACTATTACTATAACTACTATCAAAAACTTTTTTTTAATAAAAGCAGCAAGTGTCACGTGTATCCCGACCACCATCGCACGCAGTTCCGCAATTCCAAGAATATGAACCTCAACAGTATGAGCAGCCCCAGGTCGTGCAATATAGGCCATTGCCACCAGGCGCTAGATCCCAGGCTGTGCCAAGTGTGGTTTACTCTCCACAACCAAGACCGCCCAGGCCAGAACCAGTCGACTACTCAGTGTCGAACGCTAGATCACAGGTATGAATAATTTAAATTAAATAACATAGAAAGAAGTTAATTGAAATAATGGGTTTTTAACGTTCATTTATTTTTCAAAGAAAATCAAATAAATTTTATACAAATGTGTATTTTTGACAATATTAAATTTTCTGTAGGAAGATACTTATCGTTTATCAACATTCGTAAATCGAAAAATTAAATAGTATGTCTGAGTCTGATTTTTAATTGATTTAGACTATATATTCAGTGCTGGATTTACAGTAGGGGCAATCGGGGATACTGCCCAGGGCGGCAAATTTTTGGGGGCGGCAAAATTTGGATAGTGAGAAAAAAATTCTATACAATATAATCAACTTTTTTTTAACAACATTTTTTATTTCAAGAAATATAATTAACAAAACATAATACGATTGCAATGGAAAATTTGGATTGAAATAACCGATTATTAAAATTTATTATTTTGCCTTGCCTCCCTCTCCGAACGTAAATTATCAAATTGGTTAATAAGTCATTATCAAATTTGTCAATTGGCTAATATAAAGATCCGTTAACAAGCTGAAACTTTAAAAAAATATTTTCTTCAGTTCTCGAGCCTTCTTAAAATGACGAATTTATGCACTTTCAAGCTTATAGCGTTGAAAAAGAAAATTAAACTAGTGACGCATGGCATTGTGCCTTAAGACAAATTATTGAAACATCCCGTACTGAAAATTACATTTTATAAAGAGCTTTAAAATTGAAAAAAAAATGAAAATGAAAAAAATTCACTTTTAAAACACTTTTTTTGTATTTTGAAATTTTTTGAAAATTATGAACTTTTTGCAAAGCAATTGCGCTGCGTAGCTGTTTCAGAGAAGAAATATCAATTCTCAATCACCATTTTTCGTAATTCCTGCCAAAAACTAATCAGCACTTCTCCCCATCAATACAAATCTAATATTTTTTAATTATTCAAGTGAACACGGATCAACCGATTTAAATGATTCAATTCCTATTGTTAAGGAGACGTGCTGATTAGTTATTGGCCAAGGCAGGTCCAACTGTTTTGAAGATACGGGCCAAAATGCCAAAAATGATAATTTAGTTGTTGAGAAAAGAAGCGTCCAATATCATTCAAAAAAATTTATAGAATAAATAACTGCTTAAATTTGTGGGAGGCAGGTTTAGCGATTTCGATGATCCAATAAAAAAAATTTAAAAAGAAACATTTGGTGGACAAAAGTGATCATAAGACATATGCACATCAAACTATCAGATATTTTAAAAATATTTTAATAAGTATTTTTTTTTTAATTTTATTAATTATAACAATCAGAGTCAATAATAAGTATAAATTTTGTTTACATTTATATGGGTTAGGTAACATTGTTTATTCGTAAGACTGCGACGCGGCGCTTACGCGCTCCTATATTTTGTTCCTACGCAGCTGAAGCAGCGCGATTACTTCGAAAAGTCGTAAAAAAAGTTCGAAAGTTCGTAAAATTTCAGTGATGGGGCGGCATTTTTGTCTCTGCCCCGGGGCGCCAAATTTCTAAATCCGGCCCTGTATTTATTGATTATAAGATCAAATCAAGTTTGTTCCAATGAATTCTAAATTTAAAAATAAATTAATATAAAAATACGTAACTTTGTCAGTTTTAGTTTTGTCCTTTGAATCGTTAGTAAATCCTTTATAAAAACTGTTTTAGCCACATTATACCCAAATTGATTCATCTGCGGCCAGACCTGCGCCACACCAAACTTTGTTCAGAGCCCAACCAGCACCCCCATCTTATAGCGTGAGACCTGAACCACAGGTAATTAATAGTGAATATTAATCCACACAATGTATCTTAGGAATTATAAATAAATGACTCTCTGTTGCAGGTACCACAAGTATCTTATGCCAGCCAACCCGCTCCAGTGAGGCCGAGTCCACCAGTTAGGCAAACACCAGCCAGAGGAGTTTTGGACCAATTAGCTAAAGATTATGCTCTACCTCCAGGCGGTGCACCCGCTCTGCACGATGTCAGCTTCGGCTATTATTAAGTCAATGCACTTGTTACGTTTCAAAGATAAAAACATTTACGAAAACAAAAGTCACCAATCGACAACAATTAAAAAAATTGCGTTAGTCAAACATAATAATGAGTTAGTGCAGTGATCAAATTCTTACTTTGAATCTTATTGTAAGTTCACATATGTAAACCATGTACGACATATATATATATATATATATATATATATATATATATATATATATATGTATGTATGTATGTACTCACATGTGTGTTCATATATGTATATATTTATATAAGTTCATACATATACGTTAGTTTGCTCAAATGGTTACACTCATATTTATGTCGCCTATAAGAAGTTATGTGTACGAATATCCAAGTGTGCATAATAATTTTTAAATTATTAGTATAATTAAGTGTTATAATTATAAATTTTGTATTTCATTAATTTTTATGATATTTTTTTATTATTTTGCTGATAGTTTGAAATGTGATTTTATTTTAAAACAACTTTTAAATTTCAGGACGAATTGATATTAATTACTGATGTAAATAAAATTCAAACACAAACTGAACTCATAATTTACTTGATTGTTATGAATGTAAATTTCATTATTCTTTTTGTCCTAGCTGGAAAGCCAAAAAATTAGAAAAACATTTATTTTAAGTTATTGATTGGTAAATAATAGTTGCTGGCATGCTCCATTGTTTTCTTTAATTATTAGAGCTCGAAATCATTTTAAATTTACATTACATATTTTTATCTATGTAAATCAACTTATAATTGCAAAATAGTCAAAGATATAATTTTTTGTATCTGTATATTACGCTGATATGTTGATATCATTTGATTTCAAATAGTTTTCTCAATTAAAAAATCAAATAATCGTTCAGACTTATTAAATTAAATTAGAACAATATTTGCCGTCAAAAATTTAATCGGTTCTCCGGCTATAAAAAGTACAATTAAATTTTTCAGTTTTTTAATTAAATTATTGTAACTTGAGTAAATAAAAAATATTTTTTGCATATAGGAATTATTTTCATATATGTGCTTATAAATATCTTTTGTATTAAAAATATTTAGCTGTATTGTTATCGAAAAATGTTTTTAACTTCCCGTAGGGTAAGTTATAGTAATCGCAAAAAATTCGAAAATGAAAATTTTTATATCTTTACGTTGAAACGTTTCAAAGGTTTCTAAATATTTTGGCATACCTTAGAAAAAATGGATGTATGTGTGTGTGCATGTATGTATCTGTGTGTGTGTGTGCGGATACAAATTTTTGTCGACGATTTTGGGAACACCGATCAAACGATTTGAATAATTCAAAAAACATTCGATTCGTATTAATAAGGAGACGTGTTGATTAGTTTCTGGCAAAGACAGGTCTAGCCGTTTTGAAGATACGGAGCAAAAAGTGCAAAGAATTACAGGTTCTGAGAGAACAAATTGGCCAATTTGGATGATTCAAAAAACATTCGATTCGTATTGATGTGGAGACGTACTGATTAGTTTTTGGTATAGGCTAGTCCAGCCGTTTCGAAGATACAGAGCAAAAAGTGCAGAAATTCCGATTAGATCCTAGACAACCGCTCATAGCGTTGTGCATGGGCATGTCGTTATTGCTCAGTTGGTTGGATAGGAAAGTCAAAACTGATCGCGTTCGAATCCCACGTCTGAAATATTTTTTTTATACTTTTTATGTTTGTGTAGTTAATACTACATAAACTATTTCAAATTGTTAACTCAATGCATATATTTCGCAAACAAAAAATTGATGCATTTGAAATAAAATATGTTCATTCTAACAATAAGTCCGCTTAATTAGATTTTGTTTATATATATTTTATTCAAACATATATAAACAACGTCGTCTAATTCAATAAGTTTTCACATTTTGACTACAAGGAACAAATAATGAAAATTCTAGTTTTTATAATATTTATTCGTAGACATATTTGTTGCCTGATTATTTTTATTCTTTGAATGTTTAATTACGGTACGGGAAGTTCCAGCAATTTGTATTGAGGCACGATGCCATGCGCACAACTAGTTATTATATACAATTTAACATAACCATACTAGTCCAGTCATTTGGTGCAAAAAAAGGCTGTTGCCGGTACAGTACTCCGGGAATTCCGAAAATTGGTAATTTAATAGATTTCGAGGTGTTTTGCCGGTACAGTACTCCGGGAATTCTGAAAATTGGTAATCTTATAGATTTCGAGGTGCTCTTCACAAAAATCAACTTTGCCACCTCAAATTTGAACGGCAAGTTGCCACCATATTGAAAAAATGGCGTCAAAAAACAGCTTTTTTAAAATATCTCCTTTCTGGCTGATTCTGCGATAAAAGTATCTATGTACGAATTAAACTAGAGAAAATTTCCTACAATTCTTTAGAAAACCGTTTTTTTGTAAAATTGATAGTTTGAGAGTACGGCCGCCTCAAAGTCTTTGCTGCTCTCGCCGTAGTATCAAATCTGTCCATATATGACAGCACTTCGAACTTGACCACATTCTCTCTAATAATTAATATTTTCAATGTTAAATTAAGCGAATAAGATCTAGAAATAAAATAATTCAAATATTTTTCGTTTTTTTTGCTAATTTTTTAACAAGAATTTAAGAAGAATGCAAAATTGTCGAAGTCGGTTCGTGCGTTCTAGAATTATTTCGTCAGGAAGGAAAACCCGACTTATTTTTATATATATAGAAGATATCACATCTAATCTACTGGAATAACTTCTACACTTTTTTCTACTTATTAATAAAAATATTCATTGAAATTTAGTGAATAATGCATTATAGTGTTAGTTCATTACATCGTCTGTCATTCTTAACTCTCATTAAGTAATAATCATCACGTGCAAAATTTGACATTCTTAAGCAATTCATTTTTTCCCAAGTATATTCAGATATGCGTGAAGTGGTAATCCAATATTAAACAGCTGGAACAGCTTTCCATTTGTGTATTATGTCTTTCTTGTAGAAGCGTATATTTGATTTCTCACACAATTTCCTAGAACTGATCTCTTTCCTTAAAGTGTATTATGATTAGACTAATATGTTGATGCACTACGTAGTATTGTAGTAATTATGTCCTCCATATGAGTTTGAAGCTGTTCTATTCATATTGTCAAAGGGCTATGCATTTGAGAGCAATTCCTGATGAAATCTTTATTAACAAATATACAAACACAAACGAAGAAGAATCGCCATTTTGTAAACTTATACAAAAATAACACTGACGTTTCTTAGTAACCAATATAAAACATTTGAAAATACTTTTTCATCGGCACACTAGCGCCAAATCTGCGACTACAAATGGACCCCTAAGTATTCCTTCTGAACGAGGATTTTGTTCTAAGTGAAAAGGCCCTGATAACTATTGTCAGGTAAAACGGTCACGTGTGTAAGTGTCCTTAGCTTTACTAGCGCTGCTGCGGAAGATCAAGGAACATGAGGGTACATCTTCAATCCATGCTCGCGTTGTAATATCTATGGATTTTCTTGACAATTTAGTTTTGAGCACGGTTAATGTTGACTTGTATCCATATTTATGAATATACTGAAAAGCTTTGTTACAGATTAATTTGAAGAAATATTTATTTATATGCGTAATTTTAATCTGTATTTACCTTTGGCCGTTGTTAATAATATAACCGTTGCATAAACTTTTTTGGTTTATATTTCCGGAACCGGCGCAAAAATTTTTGCTTTCCTTCTACAAAGGAAAAAGTGATAATGCTGAATAATATATAATTCCGTTAAAAAATTAAGTTTAGTATATAAAGTTTATCAAATTACGAATATTTTCTACAACAATTTTTACACAAGTGCTTATATACTGTGTGTTATTTCTTATATTCATGACTGTCTCTTTCCTATATTACTTAAGTCAAGAAATTAGTTTTGTTTCAAGTCCCTTTGCATTATACATATATATAAAGATGTCTGGATTAGGTTCAATTAAATTGGAAGCTTTAGATGATTATTCACCAAATCCAGGTGCACATCTGGAACCTTCGACAATGTTGGACCATGATACTAGCTCTATAATGTCACATTTTGAAGCAGCTGATGAATTAGGTGCCTTTCATTAACCAAATACAAATATTGCTTTAGTAGATAAAACTATGTCTAACCATAAATATTTTACATTGATATAGGTATGATCAATCCATTAGATAATGGATCACAAATGTTACATAGTCCCTTATCGCCTACCATGAACTTCTTATTAAATGAAAGTGAACAAAATTATGAAGAAGAGGATATCTTAATGCAACATATGGATATTCGAGAACCCTTGTCTACTCTAAAGTAATTATATATCATGCATGATTAGTATAAGCTTTGTTTTTAATTTATATATTATTAGTAATTATCACTTCCTTTTTGTCTTAAATATTATAAAAAAAACAAATAAATCAAGTTTATGGGTACATGATATTAGTATTAATAAGTTTTCCACATCAGATTAATTATTTTAAATATTATATGTATTCATATTTCATTACAGGCAGCTACTAGAGCAAAGGCTTGGTGTTGAATTGGAAGATTACGAATTTTGGTTACAAGACGCCCAAATGGTAAATTTGAAATGAATATTGAATTGTTTCTCCCAGTTTCATACAGTATCTTATAGAATGGATTAATTAGATATGTTGATCATCTATTATAGTTGGAGTCCCATAAAAATTTAGTTGACCAATGTGTTCAAGGCAAGGGGCCAGTTCAAATCAATGTTCAAGGACCGTAAGGACCGTAAACGAATAAACATAGTTGATGTGTTAAAACCTCATGAAGGATATTTAGAATCTGCAGATTCTGCAGAGATGGGTTGGTATTGAATTCATGTTAAATTTATTCTGCTTAAAATTAAAAGAATATAATTTATCATTTTATTATATACGCTTGTTATGTTGTATGTAAAATATAAAAAATCGGTGCTTATCACCTTCAAATAACTTTGTTTACATTATATTTTGCATGAGTTAATTTAATATGTTTTAAGAAATATATATTTTTAATAACAGAATTGTTGAAACTGATTAATTGTGTTAATGTATGATTTTAAATCAACAAACAAGCACTGAAAATTATTTTTAATCATTTTTGACTAATTTGTTTAAATATTGCATAACTATATTTTAAGATGCTGATGAGAGTAACATCGATGTTGA